TGCAGCGGGCATCCCTGCGAGCAGGAGGTCCCTTCACCCCCCTCTGTGCGCACAGGAGCTTTCATCGCGCCTTTGCAGGGCAACCAGCTCCATCTTCTCATCTCCACTCCCCCCCTCCACTCGCACTGCCAATCCCCCAGTGCCTGGGGGGACACGGCCTCAATCGGAGCCGAGATGAGGCTGCTTTGACCTCCCCCAAATTGCTGCAGCCTCTGCACCGGGGAAGACGGTCTGAGCGTAATGAACCTCCCGCCAACCCGTGCCCCTGGGAAGGCAAACATGGCTGGCGCCTCGCAGTGCCCATTAGTGCAGAGCAGGGAGCGGGGGCCGGTGGCGCCACAAGAGCCATGCGCACCGCGCAGTTCACATTGCCAGCACCTGAGCGCCGGGGTTATATTTGCAGTTCTGCTTGGCAGCTTGCACTCTTAGCAAGTGTCTCCAAACCCCCACCTGCCCACCTACTGCACAGTGACTCAGTTTCCCCACTTGGATGAGACTGGGGACGATGACTCTAAAGCATGAAGAAAAGGGGCTGTCCAAATGCCTCTCTTCTCCGCCAAGCACCTTGATGACCTGCACAGGGAGGGGGGTCTTGTGGGGAAGACACCCGGGCAGTCAGATGTGTCCCCCTCCCCAAGCACTCCCTGCCCAGCCTTCGGTCCCCACTGGACCCCCCCCCCATCCTCTTCCAGTGCCCCCAGCATGGCCCAGTTCCTGCTCAGCAGCGTCCATGCCCAAGCCAAGCAGTGCTCTGTGCTCATACCAGCTGATTGAGAGTCTGGCAGATGCCAGCGCCAATTCAGGAGGTTAGAGGCATCAGCAGATAATGATCTTTTGCGCCGTGTGCGGCTGGGTGCCAAGAGGATCTGGCAGTAGCCGCTACCCAACCGCACTGGCTAATCAAGACGAACTCCACAGCACCGGGAATTGTGGTGTCTGTTGGAGGAGATTTGGGGCGATGGGTTTGTTTCACCATCTGCTGCTGACACCTTCTGGGTAATTAATGCCTGGGAAGAACTAAGGGTGGGGAGAGCTGGGGGAATCACTCATGCAGCAAGCAGTGGGGCCTGATCCCCCCCAAGACATGCACAAAAATAAACAAGATGTATTGAGAGCTTGACCTTAAGCGTACAGAGAGTTAAAATGCTGCTTATGTGCATGCAGCATTTGCCCTTTAACCCCAATTGTGGTGACCTGTTGGGAACCAGGCAGGCGCTGCCTTGCTCCCCAGGACACCCACCTCTGCCAGCAGCTGGGCTGAGCCCCCCAGCCAGGCACAGTCGGTCCTGGCCGCAGGCCAGCTGCAGCCCCAGCCACGACCCAGTACTTCCAAGTGACCCAGCAGCAAGCTGGTGCCAGCTTTGCCAGAGTGGGGATCTGGCCCCATTCCTACCACTCCAGCTACAAAAATAGCAGGAAGGAGAAAACAAATGCATGAAGGTGCTGGGTGAGGCGGGGGCCCCGTGCCTGGATGGGGTGGGACAAGCGCCTCACGCCAGAGTGTGGACGACCATCCCCTCCCACGGCAGGACCATATGCCGAGGTGAGTGGTCGGAGGCACGCAGTGCTGGGTTCTGCCCACTGCCTGAAAGGTGCCCACTGAGCCGTGCAGCCCCTGGACTGCCATGCTGGGCAGGTTCTTGTCCTGCTAAAGCTCCTGTGCTTCACCACCACGGTGCTCCACTGGCATGCCTGGGACTTTAATCACTGCCAGGCAGGCGGGCAGCTGGGCATGCTGTGGAGAGAGAGTCTAATGCCAGGTGCAAGTGCTGAGGTACCTGCCCGGCATGAGCTGCAGCTGATCACGTGTAATGGATGACATGTCAAAAATTGCCCCAGCAACCTCTGCCGGCAATAATCCCCCTTTAATGGCGCCAGGCACATGCCAGGCACTTCATGTACAGGCACCCAGGACCACCCCCCTTTTACATGTACTGTTTGGGGGCCTCTCTGTGTCTCCCAAGTCACACACAGTCCTCTGTTTGTCAGCTGGGGAAACCGTGGCAGGCATGAACAGAAAAGCCCCAAATCCCCCTGTTCTGCATGCAGAAACATGCAGTAGTGCCATGAAGATAGCGCAGGAGCCCTGGCCTGTGCTGTCCATCCATCTGCTCTCACTGAGGATGTGAAAAACACCCAGGCGTCCTGGCTGCCCATGCCCTCCATGCTGGCAGTGCGCAGGCACCCACCTTTCCCTGGAAAAGCCCAGCCCTAGGGTGCCCCCTGCTCCAGGCCTGGACTCCCCGCCCCTGCCAGTGAGCCAGGCATCCGGATGCTCAGCCATGGCTCATCATCCTTTCCAGCCTGGCTGCTCTACCCCTGCCAAACCCAACTGCCAACAGCTTATGTGACTTTCAGCCCGGCGCTTGCAGCTCATTAACCCTCCCCAGGCCACCAGCCCCTGCCAGGTCCCCCCCCACTGAGCAGGGGGACAGGTGAGGGGGAGCTGGGGACCCTCTGACAAGGGCCAGGTCCCTGCTGTAGGAGGGGATTCAGCCCAGCAGCAAAAGAGACCCGTCCTGGCAGGGCAGGGACACTTGCCCAGCTGCTGCCATCTTGGCAGGTAGTTGTAGTTTATGAGGGTTTAAGCAGCTTTGTACACAAAACCCTCAGCTTGAAATTTTGACGGCAAGGGACAGGGACAGCTCTGAGCTGAAAGGATGGGAGTTGGTGCTTCAAACCTGGGGCTGCCGAGGTGAGTGGGGAGGGTGCTCAATTTCCACCCCCCCACCCCCCACCCCCAAAAAAAAGATGCCCCCAGAGCAAGGGTGTAGCAGGGGGGAGGACACGGAGCAGCACTCTTCACCCGAGCAGCTGCCAGCAGGCATGCCTGTCAGGGTAAGTAAGCCCAGGTGTGTATAAGAGTCGACGTGCCTGAAGCCCAGCCTGGCTCAGCGAAGGAGCCCTGGCCTCTCAGAAGCGCTGGACAGAGGGAGCAGGCCAGGCAGTGCTGGGTGGTCTCACCCCTCCTCAGTAAAGGAGGGCTGGGGACCACCAGGACCACTCAGCTTACCTGGAGGATGCTGCGAGAGCTGGGAGGACAGCGTGAAGGGGAAGCTGGCAAGCAGGCACAGCCTGTGAAGGCATGGGGAGGGCAGAGAAGCTGGACTGGGAGTCTGAGAAGGGGTTTGGGGAGTGGGAGGAAGACAGGGCTGGCAAAGGACGCAAAGAGCAGAGGAGGGCAGGAGAGGGTGTGGGGAAATGCAGGGTCTCCGAGGCACATGGCGAGAGAAGGGCAAGGATGAGCCTGGAGGGATGGGGGCTGCACGGGGGGGTCCCTGAGAGGAGGAGAGGGGCAGAGGGATGCAGAGGGATGGGAAAGAATGGGGTGTCCCTGGAGGGAGGGGGGTATGGGGTGACTCACTCCGGGGTGCCGCTTGACATGCCGTGAGAACATGCCTCCAAGGAGGGGACCCTTCATGGCGAGGGTGTGGGGAAGATCTGGCTGCGATGGCAGGTTCCTGAGCGCCGTCCGAGGATGAAGGGTGGGCAGGAGATGCGAGGGAGGTGTCTGGAGCAGGGCTGGGAGGGACGGGGCGGGACGGGATGGGAATCCCGGCCCAGGGACACTGCAAGCTGGAAGGGGAGAGGGAGGCTGAGGATCACGTCCTGAGCCCTGGCTGCACTCTGCCCCTTCCAGCCTTTCCCGTAGGGAGCCCCGATGACTGGGTTAATGACTAGCTTTGGACGCCTGAGGTCTGCACCCCAGACCGCATTCGTTCCTTGGTTTCCCTCTCTGTACAAGGGACCAGCCTCTTCCCTCCACGTGCAAATCCTTCACAGGTTGCTCCGCACCTTCCTGCCAGGGCAAACGATGAGTTGTGTGATTTGCTATGACAACTTTGCTGATGTTTGCTGCCTCCCCTCAGCGCCCCCCTCCACCCTCCCGTTTATGATAAATGACATAACACCCAATTTACATTTAGCAATGCAAATCTCCCTGGCAGTAACAGATGCTGCTGTGCATATGGAAACCAGCTATTTGTATCCACTGGCTTTTAACAAAAGACTGGGGAGATGGACGGAGTGGGCAGCCAAAAGCAGCAGGCTGGAACTGAGCAGGGACTGGGCCCCCCAACCCTTATCTGGGGTGTGGGTGGTCATTCTCTGGCAGTGGCAAGAGCCAGCGCAGCTCATGTCCGGGGGGCAGCTGGGGACAGAGCATGACAAGGTGGCATACAATGTCACACAGTGTCACACACCTGATGGGCACAGGCCAGTCCCTGTCGAATGCCCCTTCCACTGAGGGCTCACAGCCAAAAGCCAGTGCCCCCCAGTAGACCAGTCTTTGCTCATGCAGTTGCATACATGCATGCACACACACATGCATAGGTAGACAACCTACATGCTGACATGTCTGCAGGCACTTGCACATGAACACCTCTACGCATACATGCATGCACACATGCACACAAGAGCTCTGGCAATTCTTTTTACCGCTGACTTGTAAGCCCCTCACTTTTTGAAGTTTTGGCTTGGAGCACCCAAGGGAGTCTCCACTCTCCCACACATGCCCAGAGCCCCGCTGCTGCCCCCACAGCCCAACAGTCCAGCCTCCCTCCCCACCTCAGCACCCTCTGCCCGGCACAGCACAGCCCCGTTGGTGCCACTCCATCCTAACCTCATTTCTTTCAGCAAAGTATAAAAGGACAAAGGGGAGAAACTTCTCTGGAGTGTGTGGAAATAAATAAACAAGGCCTGAATTGCAGCCAGCAGCACCATGTTGAGGCCTTTGTTGATATAATTAGAGTTTTGAAATGGGATTGATTAAGTGCCACTCCCCAAGACAGAGTGCATCCTGCCCTCAGCACAGGCACGTGCATGTCCTTCACTGCGTTCCTCTGCCAAGAGCTGCTGCGGCACAAGGACAGTAGTGTGGTGTATGGGGAAGGGGTGTGCGCGTAAGGTCACAGCAGAGGTGTGCGGGAGGGGTTCATGGGGTATGTGCATATGCACATGTGTGTAAGTGGTGGGACTCACATGCAGTGCCATAATGCCTCTGGAGCACAGCACTGAGCAGGGATCCTAAGAGGGTGTCCGGCAGCATTAAGAGCCCAGGACGTCTGGGGGATCCCGCTCCTGTCACAGCCAGGTCTGCTTTGGAGCAACCTGCATCTCTGCACCCTGGTCCAATGCAAGCTCCTAACTCCCTGCAGACGAGCCCAGGACTTCTCCTAGAGATGCAGTGGGATTCCCTGCCCACAAAGCCCAGCTGCCTCCATGCTCATTAATGATTGTAATTAAGAGACAGTTTAATTCTGTGCCATGCTTCCCTCTTCCGTGGTGATTACAGTGTGTGCCCTGCTGCTCAGGAGCCCCCCTGGGCAGGCTGCCCACAGCCCCACAGGAGCAGCCGTCGTGAGGGGCTCAGCCCTGCAGAGTGCCGGGGGGAGCTCCAGCATGCTCCTCACCCCCTCTGCCCCCCCCGAGGGAGACACAATAAACACTAGCAAATAGACACTGCTGGAGCTTCTTCTTTCATGGCTGCCCCTGCCTGGCACCATGCAGATCTGATGGGTCAGCGCTTTTGCGGAAGAACAAGACAGCCCACAAATACTTCCTAGAGAGAAAAGAATTACAGCAGCTGACCTCAGGAAGCATGCATGTGCATGGACACACAGCTGCAAATGCAGAGTTACACGTACGTGCGCATCTAGGCAGCTCTGCACTCACACATGTGTGCACAGAGACACATCCCTGCCTGCACAGCTACACATACCTGCACACGCACATGTGCATGGGCACCTGTGCACACATACACACATCCGAACAGATGTGCATGGACACATGGACATATACATGCCTTTATGAGCAGATATATGCTTGCAGACGTGCATGCATACAAACATGCATGGCTAGGTGCACACTCACATGTGTGCTGGTGCACTCCCTGGCTCCATACAAGGGCTATGGGGAGCTGATCCTGCAGGGTGGGGAGCTGAAAAGACAAATGGGGTGGCAGGGCTGGAGAGAGCCACAGGGCCTTGGTGTCTCCACTTGCAGCTGCTGTGGCGGGTTATTTTACAACCACTCCAAAAATATTATTCAAGATGAAGGAGAATCACGGCTGCTGCGAGCGAGCGCAGTGCCGTCGCGGGGAATTTATCATTCTGAATTGGGTGCCCCCCCCCCGCAACACTGCGGTGATGAAGTGCTTCATTAATGGGAGCTGCTGCGTCTTGGGGCTGAACGTGCCTGCACCTGAGCATGCCGTTTCCTCTGGCTCCCAGCCTTGGCACTCGGCCCCCCTGTCCCCACACAGCACCCCCCCCAGCCACCCAACCAGCCTCCTGGCTCCACACCAACCCCCATTGCAC